GGCTAACTTTCCAATAGGATTGTCCCAATTATTTCATATATCAGCTACTTCAAGAATAATTAAATTTCACTAATGGGCTTTTCCAGAGCAAGGTTGACAAACTGTTATCTAGAAAAAGCCAATTAATTATCTAGATGGAGAAGAGGGACTCTCATGAATAGGTCTTAGAGGATGTCAAATATTTGGCCCTTTCTCACACTGCTGGCTGGTGCTTTATTTAAATAGTTTTAAACAAAGCCTGGCAGTAGACAGATATCTCTCCTCTTGCCCTCCTCTGCATCTTGATGTCTCTGGTTCCGTTCCACTGATGGCCCTTTGATTGTCTGCCTGGCACCTTACTGCACCTGCACACAGGTCTTCACTTCATCCAAAGCTTTCAGGAAAAGGTTGGAGACAGCTTGTTTTAGATGGGGGTTGCTCCATGTAGCAGTAAGAGTTTTCTCTCCATTGAGATCCCACTGTTGTTAGGGATACCAAACAGTTGTTGTTGTGTGTTAGTTGCTCAGTTGTAACTCTTTGCGACACCATGGACTGTAGCACACCAGGCTCCTCTGACCATGGAATTCTCTAGTCAAGAATATTGGAGTGGGTTGCCATTCCCTTCTCTAGGGGATCTTCCTAACTCAGGGATCTAGCCTGAGTCTTCTGCATTGCAGGTGGATTTTTTAATCATCTGAGCCACCAGGAAAGCCCACAAAACAGTTAAGAGTTTTAGATAATTTCCTTCTTGGTGGTAGTTAAAAGACATTTAAAAGAACTTTTCACAGAGCAACTCAGTTCTCTAAAGCAGGGGTCCCCAACCTCCTGGATCTAATGCCTAATGATCTGAGGTGGAGCTGATGTAATAATAACAGAAATAAAGTGCACAATAAATATTATGCACTTGAATCATCCCAAAATCATCTCCCCAGCCCTGATCTGTGAAAAAATTTTCTTCCACGAAACTGGTCCCTGGTGCCAAAAAGTTTGGGAACTGTTACTGTAAGGAGTCTGTGATATCTAATGTACCGGAAGCCCAAATTTCAAGCAGGTTTAGCGTTAAGCTGGTGATTTAAATAGGCAAAAGGCTCTGTATCCTATTACTAATCCCAGAGCCGTGCGATACCACCCCATCACCACGTGACATTAGTGAGAAAGGCAACAGGCGATGCCATACCTCTAACTTCATCATCCAGTCCTGCTACCTGAAGACACTCAGGATTTGTCTGCCAGTAATGAGTCAACAACTCTTTTCCAGTGACCACGAGAATGGCCATTTCCTATGGTTGACTAGGAGTGGGAGCAGAGAGAAAAGATATACAAGACAAAAAAGTAAGACTTTTTTCCCCTCAGAAAATTAATAGTCCTGGTGAGAATACAAAATACAAAAATGTAAAGAACTTGCAAACCTAATACAAAATGATTGGAAAATCAGTTGGAAAACACTGGGTAAGCAGAGATACTCAGAGATAAAGAGGGCCAGAGAGGAATTGGAGAATTCACCAAGGGCTTCCACAGGATGAGTGGCCGGAGCCAGGCTTGAGGCTGTGGGGACCAGGAGTGTGAAACAGCTGGGAGGGCCTTGTGAAGGAAGTGAGATAAGACATAAAAGCATGGAAGGGAGAAAAATGAAGCCTAACACAGAATGAGTAATCAAATTCATCTAATCAGAATAAAGACTCCAGGGACTTCCCTGATGGTACTATGGTTAAGACTTCGCCTTCCAATGCAGAGTGTACAGGTTCGATCCCTGGTCAGTGAGCTAAGATCCCACATGCCTCATAGTCAAAAAACTAAACCATAAAGCAGAATCAATATTATAACAAATTCAAGAGAGACTTTAAAACTGTTCCCATCAGAATAAAGACTCTCTCTACAGAAAATGGTTGGTTCTAAGAATAAAGCAGAGCCTAGATTATGTTAAGTTCATTTATTAACTCATTCATTCATTTTTTCATTCTTTCAACATGTTTAGAGTCCATGTACCTTAAGATACTGCTTTCCTAGTCTCTGAAGGTAGACTAATTCTCTGCTGTTATTACATTACATTCTAGGAGGAAGAGATAGATAATGAACCAATAAGCAATAAATTTTTAAAAATGCCATCTGAGTCTATTTGGTTAATAGGATCCCAAGCCCACGTGTCAAGCTTTTATGGTTGCTAAGATATCCTGGTGTGAGAAACATAGGTAGTGGAGTGCTATTACTATCTCATGGACATCCTCCAAACATTATCACTGTTCTCCCCTTTCTGTTTCAAGTTTATAGTAAGGCCACTGGTACAGAACAATACGCAATAAAATCATGATGCCATTAAGTTCATGTGCAGTCTGTCCACAAGTCAGAGACCTTGATTGCCAGCATGTATAGAACTGTCCTTAAGGTTTGAACAACAAGAAGAGGCAAAGCAGGAATCAACTGTGTTTTGGAAATTGCCCACAGAATACTATTTGTGACTTTTCCCCCTTGAAAACACACTGGACAATGTAAAATTTTGCATAGATAATACATTTTGGCTTGAAAAGTGCCATGGCTCAAAATAATTTCCTGTGATTATCAGCCAACCTAGCTGTAGAACTGGCTTCCCAAGTGGCACTAGTGGTCAAGAATCTGCTTGCCAATGCAGAGACATGTTCCAATGCCAGTAAGAGACATGGGTTCAATCCCTGGGTCGGGAAGATCCCCTGGGGAAGGAAACCCACTCCAGTATTCTTGCTTGGAGAATCCCATGGACAGAGGAGCCTGGTGGGCTACAGTCCATGGGGTCACAAAGAGTCAGACATGATGAAGCAACTTAGCATGCGGCAGCTGTAGAACTATTTTGATGTGTATACTTAACTAAATTTTCTCTTTATAAGGTAAAGCAGTTGATCCAACTGTAATGGGAGACACATACTCCTTTAATTTGATATCTGAAAAAAATAAGACAATGAGAAATAAACTACATTTTTGTGTTTGTCTTCAGAGGAGCCAGGCCAGTCAATAGTAGTGGTTTGTAATAGAACAGTGCTAGAGAAGAAATGGGGAATCTATAGGACGGCTGATTTCTAATCTGGCCATGGAGTTAAAATGACCCAAATTTTAACTGTTCAAATGTTACTGAGACCCAGTCAGACCTTAGAACTTTCCCTGTAAAACAAGGCAAAAGAAAATGTGAACCAAATAGTAGCTGCATAAAATTTCATGAATATCATGGGTATGGTGTCCCTATTCTTTCTGAAGGAGAATAACCAAATCCTGAGGTCCTTCCACTTTGGGAAAGGATTGAAGACTAGATGGACATGTAAAAGATGTCATGTCTGTTTCTCCTCATTTTTTATCTAAAATACTAAATAACTTGGCCTCTTTTTGTTTAACTTTCTGGTGTTAAAAAATGCTTGACTGAGTTCAGGAATCCCACAGGCTATAAGCCCTTTGGTGCAAATGAAGAAAAACGCTGCTTCCTTGGGGTGTGCATAGCGGCCTGCCAGCGGGCACAGCTCATGTGGGGGAGGTTTGGCTGATTTTATCAGCCAGGAGCACTTGTGCAGTGTGCAACCTGCACTCCCATTCATGGTGGCTCTGATTCGGTTGAAACATGTATTAGGGAGAACTGAAACAGCCATCAATGAATGACATAAGTCAGTCCATAAGTTTTTCTGTTTTGACTGTTTCTTCAAAAGTAAGAAGTCAGTTTTAGTTCAGTTTCTTGTTTGCCAGTTCCCATATTTAAACCTCACTGGATAAAGCAGGTCCTTACCACTTCCTTACATTAACACTTCAGCATCCCTAACTGCATTAGGGATGTCCTTCTGCCAAGGTGTGAGAAAGGATCTTTCTACAGCCAGGAACACAGGTAGCCCAAGTCCATAAATGTGCATTTCTGGGAGCATCCAGAGAGCCACATGATCTATCAAACCCATCTGGTCAGCAAGGAAGTTCTTCAAGCGCATAAGGCCATTTTTATCAGATTAATTCTCTCCTTTATTAAAGTTCTGGACTTCTGAAAGGTGTTCACTTCATTGTGAGACTAGACAGTGTTTTCTCAGGAAGGACAGCGCTGAAAGTTGTCAGTGCCTTCTATTTAAAGTTACCTTTGTGTCTTCTCCATGTACGCCATCAAACTTCCTGAGGGCAGAGTTAGGTCACTACGTTTGTGACATTCCGTTCTCTCAACTTTAATTCAACAGATGTTCACTGGGACGCTTCCTTATGCCAAGCACCTTCTAGAGTTGTAGGTGATGCAGAGATGAGTCACATAGAACCCCTCACCTCAAAGAGTATAGATTTTGGTAGAAGGAGTTGAATGCAAATACAGAAATAACTGCAATTCAAGGCAGTCAACTCAAACCACTTTGGGAGTAGAAAGAACTAAATCAGTGAAAAAGCACACACAGAGGACAGAGAATAAAGAAAAAGTAAAGAATGTGAAGGACCTCCCAAGTGGCTCAGTGGTAAAGAATCCACCTGCCAATGCAGGAGACACTGTTTCGATCCTTGGGTTGGGAAGATCCCCTGGAGAAGGAAATGGCAGCCCACCCCAGTATTCCTCCAGGGAAATCCCAGGGACAGAAAAGCCTAGTGGCCTGCAGTCCATGGGATCCAAAAAGAATTGGACATGATTTAGCAAAAAAACAGCAAAGAGAAAGGCTAATTGTTCTTTATTCCTTCCTTTGTCTGTCTTCTCAGAGTTTTAAACTTCTAATGTGTTATGTAGAGCAATGTCTTGAGGAAATGATGGGCCAAATTAGTGTAAGTCAGAAATGTAGAAAAAGTCATTCTAAGCCCAGCTGTAATCATTACTCAAAAGAAAGTAAAAAATCAGAAAACGCAGACACTTCAAGGGCAGGTAATCAAAGGTTTCAAAAGTTAGAATGGGCATTTAATACATATATAATATAAATGTTAACTACATGTGTATCTTTTTAAATGAGGAAAGGTGAATGTATTTTTCATCTTGCCTCTTTCATGTTGACTCTATATGCTGTTCTGTGGCTTTTGCTGATAATAAGAAATTGCCTGTTTCAAAATTATATCTCGTCATGGATGCTAATGATGACCCTGAGGAAGATCATCTCACAAGTTATGATGTTCAGCTCAGTATTCAAGAATCTATTGAAGCCAGCAAGACTGTATTTTATCCTGAAAGGTAACATTCAAATTGATGATCCTCAACTAAACTTCATGGCATTCATTTTTTATAAGATAAAATGAATGATGTTTCCAGACCCCTCTACCTTTTTTTTGTGACAGGGAATCCAATACCTTTATAAGAACTGCGGTGCACAGGTTTAGCCATCTGATTCTACAAATTCCCATCTCCTGTGAAATATTAGACTACCTCGATAGGGAATTCCCAGTTCAATTTGATTGTATAGGATTGCCTATTTCCTCAATTCATATAGAATCAAAAAGGACAGTAAATAATGTGAATGAAATTGTAAACACTGTTTATATGACTGATGTATAGATACGTATACAGAATCTCTTGTGCTACTGACTCAGGCAACCTTTATAAGTAATATATTCCATTTTGCACCTTTAAAATATGAAGAATAATGCTAACTCACCTGCCTATAAGCTTAATGAGTGGGGAAAGAGTTGAAGGCTTTTATAATATATGGCAAAGTGATATATAAACCAGAACTTATTTAATTATCTACTGTTAAAGTGACAGCAGTTAACAAATTATACATGAAATTGGTGTTTTGTGTTGGCAAGAGTTATAACAGCTAAAACTGCCAAAGTAAATTTTTGTTTTGAGCAGAACACATTATACTTCTAACAAAACTGAACTTTAATTTACCTTTAAATTCTATTATAGCATTTAGAATCCTGTATTCTGAAATTAATAGTGCTTTTGAAAAGATTCAGTGCTATAAAATGATTGCTTTTGAGCTTTTGAAAAACAGACATGTTAACATTTATATTTCTGGTCTCTTTCATTCTTCCCTTATCTCCCAGAAAGGCATTCACAACCCTGGAATACCAGTGGATGTTTCTGCTTTAATAGAGTTAAATCATTTTGTTATTCAGTACCTAGTCACTTTTGAATAAACACATTAGAGAATTTCCATAAGAGTTGACAATGACCTCCCGGGCCAGTGATTGGAATTTGTTCAGTAAATGCTCAGCCTATTTTTCACTAGTTTTCACAGTTGATTAAAGACTAACCTGCAATATACAGCATATGCTCCCAAATAAGCAACCATTAATTAGCCATTATTAAATTCAAAGCAAGAAACCTTTATTGAGCATAGAATTTTTAAAGTTGGGAGAAACCTTAGAGATCTTCCTATATAATCTCATTTTACTGATGCAGGAACCACCATCCAGAGAGGCTGCTGGCCTCAGGATCACAAAATCACAATATCTGAAAGCAGCTCTTCTGCCTCTGACTCCAGTTATTTACCCCCTTTTTATTGCCTACAATTAATTTCAGAGACAATGTTTTAACCTTCTACTTTTCCATCTTCCCTAATATTCATAGGTCCAGTGTATCATAAACATACTCTGTACCTGACTTTTAGACATTTACATTTTTTAAGTAGATAACATCAGTTGTGTGCATTTCTTGAAGATCCTGATTATTAAACATATGTGTAAAAACTAAATAAATGTTTTGGGTCCTTGGAGTATACCATGAATACAAATATGGCTTGTATTTCTTTCCCTGGTAGATTTGTACCACTAAGCGATCAGAACAGAAAGCTTGTGGAGGCCATACAGCAAGGTAAATGGATTTATCACCTACAGTAAAATAGACTGGAGATTCCACCTGGCTGAGAGATTTGTTATCAGCCCGTGTGTTCATTTTAGGTCACATTCTTGAACTCCAGGAGTATGTGAAATATAAACATGCTTTGGATGAAGCTGATGAAAAAGGATGGTTTCCATTGCATGAAGCTGTTGTTCAACCCGTTCAGCAGATACTTGAAGTTGTCTTGGATGGTAAGAAAATGTAGACTGCCCTTAACCAAACTGCAGCCCAAATGCAGATGTTCTGGAGTATTCCCAATGAACATAATAAGCAAAAAGAAAAAGTAGAATAAAAGGTGATTTGCAATTTGGAAAAGATAGTACTCATGCTTTAAACTGAGTACAAAATTAGCCTATTTTGTGGAGTTCATGGTTTACCCTTTACATCTTTCTAAAAATATGACCCAGTTTGGTGGGAAGATGTGATTATCACCTAAAAGTTTATATACACCATTAATTAATTGATTTAAATATAAAATATTTTGCTTTTCAAAGTTGGTTGTAAACTTTCATCTTGAACTGAGTTAATAGTTTCCAAAAGAGTATTAATTTTGTACAAGTAATACTTATATTATTTGTCCTTATATTACATTAATTTTTTCATCCTGCAAACATGAATAATGGTTGTGGTATATTTACCCAAGGTTAAATATTATTAATAATTTCTACATTCTAACAGTGTTTTTCACATCCCTGCATCTTATAAAACACTTTGAGAATGCCCTTCTTTTCAACCTTCAATGTTGCTTCCTAGTGGTGTTGTAAGAGATAATGATAGCTACTGGATAATTAACTATCCAGCTAGTCAGCCAGCTACGAAAAGTTAAAAATAGACAAACAGACAGATAGATAGTCAGACAGATATAGAAGATGATGTTAAGCATGGCATTTCTTTTCTAACATATTCTGATAGGATAAATCATTGATTCAAATACTTCTCATTCCCACCGGCACAGACTTCATTTGACAAAAAACAATTTCAAGTTCAATTTAAATAATAATACAAAGGATTAGGGAAGTTGTTTATAATTTATTAAGAAGTGAGAAGTCACAACCCATTATCTTTTTTTGTAAAAAACACCTTGAAACACAGATGTTGGTTTGCTAGCTGTCAACTTGATTAGCAAGCCCATGCTCATCTATTTCTACTCACCATCATTTGCTAGACTTTAATCATTTCTGTTTTTAGTCTTCTCTTTTTCATCAATTGACTTTGTCCAATCTACTGTAAATGATATTGCATTATTTCTGTTCTATATGACATCCTTTAAGTAAAGACTTTTAATTTTCCACATGCTTTCATATCTCAGCATCTTATAAGACGCTCTGGGAGTTCAAGACCTCTGATGGAGAAACACCTTTGACTTTGGCAGTCAAAGCTGGTCTGGTGGCAAATGTAAAAACTTTACTAGAGAAAGGAGTGTGGCCAAACACCAAAAATGACAAAGGAGAGACACCCCTTCTGCTTGGTAAATAACTTTTTTTTTCCTAGAACTTTTATAATCTGAGACAAATAATACCTATTCAGTATTTAATGGAAACCACTGTGTATTGGCTAAAATTATGTGACCTCATCTGTTTCTACTCTCTGAGGTCCTTTCCTAACCCCCATCTCACCTGCCATATGATTTTGTTTTCTTGTCCCACCAGGAGGTAAAATGTGAAAGCTCTTTCAGCACCAGTTAATCAGAAGGGGTCTAATAAGGAGTTCTATGAGGCCAGGAGTGCCAGTTTTGAAAGAATATTCTCTAAGCAGGGTCCGGCCTGTAAGGGATATTGCATGTGTGATCTGTAGCTTAAACAAAGAGGCAGAAAGGGGACTCCAGAGAGAGACATGAGGTACAGAGCAGAATGATGAAACCAAACTTGAAGGCAGGAGACCCAGCAGATTCTGAGCACACAGCTGTGTCACTGGGGTCACCACTGTGACAGATCAAAGGAATGATTGTAAGCCTGAAGATGTTGTCTATCTATACACAGCTTCTTCTCAGGCTTGTATATCCTGCTGTTTGTTGGCCAATAAGAATTGGCACGTCTGTCTGCAGTAGCAGAGAGAGATGAGATTAACTATAGATGACCACAGATAACCTTTCTTTCTCTCAGGGACATAGGTGTGGAGTAAGAATTAGGGTTTTGGCATCTGAGATACTTGTATTTATTTTTCTTCCATTTTATTGAAATGGAATTGACATATAACATGGTACTAGTTTAAGGTATACAACATGATTTGATGTATGTATTACTATGAAATGATTACAACAGAAAGCCTAGTTAACATGCCTCACTTCACATAGTTACACACTGTTTTTTCTCATGTTGCAGACTTTGTTTTGCAAACTTTTAAGATCTACTCTTTTAACAACTTTCAAGTATGCAATTCAGTATTGTCATGTGAATGTCAATTCTAGCTGTGAGACTGCAGTTATGGGTCTCAGTTTCCTCATGTGTAAAATGGAAATACAACATCCACCATGCAGAATTAGCCTATTATACAGCGTGAAGTAAGTCAGAATGGAAAACACCAATACATTATATTAACACATATATATGGAATTTAGAGAGATGATAATGATGACCTTATATGCAAGACAGCAAAAAAGACACAGATGTAAAGAACAGACTTTTGGACTCTGTGGGAGAAGGTGAGGGTGGGATGATTTGAAAGACTAGCATTGAAACATGTATATTACCTATTTCTATATGTGTATGTAGTAGGAGAAGGAAATGGCCACCCATTCCAGGATTCTTGCCTAGAGAATCCCTTGGACAGAGGATCCTGGTGGGCTGCTATCCATAGGGTCGCAGAGTCGGACACAACTGAAGTGACTTAGCGTTAGCATGTAGTATGTATACGTGTTTTTCACATGTATATGTGCATTAGATCTCCAGTCCAGGTTCGATGCATGATACAGGGTGCTCAGGGCCAGTGCACTGAGATGACCCAGAGGGATGGGATAGGGAGGGAGGTGGGAGGGGGGTTCAGGATGAGGGACACATGTACACCCATGCTGATTCATGTGAATGTATGGCAAAAACCACTACAATGTTGTAAAGTAATTAGCCTCCAATTAAAATAAATAAATTAATTTACAAAAACAAAATTAGAGAAAAATCAGTTCAGTTCCATTCAGTTCAGTCACTCAGTTGTGTCTGACTCTTTGCGACCTCATGGACTGCAGCACACCAGGCTTCCCTATCCATCACCAACTCTCGGAGTTTGCTCAAACTCATGTCCATTGAGTCGGTAATGCCATCCAACCATCTCATCCTCTGTCGTGCCCCTCTCCTCCCACCTTCAATCATTCCCAGCATCAGGGTCTTTTCAAATGAGTCAGTTCTTTGCATCAGATGGCCAAAGCATTGGAGCTTCAGCATCAACCTTCCAATGAATATTCAGGGCTGATTTCCTTTAAGATTGACTGATTGGATCTCCTTGCAGTCCAAGGGACTCTCAAGAGTCTTCCCCAACACCACAGTTCAAAAGCATCAATTCTTCGGTGCTCAGCTTTCTTTATAGTCCAACTCTCATATCCATACATGACTACTGGAAAAGCCATAGCTTTGACTAAATGGACCTTTGTTGGCAAAGGAATGTCTCTGCTTTTTAATATGCTGTCTAGGTTGGTCATAACTTTTCTTCCAAGGAGCAAGCATCTTTTAATTTCATGGCTGCAGTCACCATCTGCAGTGATTTTGGAGCCCCCCAAAATAATGTCTCTCACCATTTCCATTGTTTCCCCATCTGTTTGCCATGAAGTGATGGGGCCAGATAACATGATCTTAGTTTTCTGAATGTTGAGTTTTAAGCCGACTTTTTCACTCTCATCTTTCACTTTCAAGAGGCTATTCACTTTCAGCCATAAGGGTGTCATCTGCATATCTGAGGTTATTGATATTTCTCCCAGCAATCTTGATTCCAGCTTGTGCTTCATCCAGCCTGGTATTTTTCATGAAGTACTCTGCATATACATAGGGTGACAATATACAGCCTTGACGTACTCCTTTCCCAATTTGGAACCAGTCTATTATTCCATGTCCAGTTCTAACTGTTGCTTCTTGACCTGCATACCGATTTCTCAGGAGACAGGTCAGGTGGTCTGGTATTCCCATCTCCTTAAGAATTTTCCACAGTTTGTTGTGATCCTCACAGTCAAAGGCTTTCTCAAAGTCAATAAAGACAATAGAGCAAAATATTAATATGTAAACTGCCACATGGTAGATGCTCAGGAGAGGAGAGACGTTATGAAATAATGCACATGGGGCAGGAGAAGGGGAAGCAGCCCTGAGATTGTTCACCAGCCATCCAAGTTCAGTTCAGTTCAGTTGCTCAGTCATGCCCGACTCTTTGTGACCCCATGGACTGCAGCACATCAGGCTTCCCTGTCCATCACCAACTCCCGGAGTTTACCCAAACTCACGTCCATCGAGTCGGTGATGCCATCCAACCATCTCATCCTCTGTCATCCCCTTCTCCTCCTGCCCTCAGTCTTCCCCAGCATCAGGGACTTTTCAAATAAGTCAGCTCTTCGCATCAGGTGGCCAAAGTATTGGAGTTTCAGCTTCAGCATCAGTCCTTCCTATGAACACCCAGGACTGATCTCCTTTAGGATGGACTGGTTGGACCTCCTTGCAGTCCAAGGGACTCTCAAGAGTCTTCTCGAACACCACAGTTCAAAAGCATCAATTCTTCGGTGCTCAGCTTTCTTTATAGTCCAACTCTCACATCCACACATGACTAATGGAAAAACCATAGCCTTGACTAGATGGGACCTTTGTTGACAAAGTAATGTCTCTACTTTTAATTATGCTGTCTAGGTTAGTCATAACTTTCCTTCCAAGAAGTAAGCGTCTTTTAATTTCATGGCTGCAATCACCATCTGCAGTGATTTTGGAGCCCAGAAAAATAAAGTCTGACACTGTTTCCACTGTTTCCCCATCTATTTGCCATGAAGTGATGGGACCGGATGCCCATCTTAGTATTCTGAATGTTGAGCTTTAAGCCAACTTTTTCACTCTCCTCTTTCACTTTCATCAAGAGGCTCTTTAGTTCTTCACTTTCTGCCATAAGAGTGGTGTCATCTGCGTATCTAAGGTTATTGATATTTCTCCCAGCAATCTTGATTCCCGCTTGTGCTTCAGCCCAGCATTTCTCATGATGTTCTCTTCATATAAGTTAAATAAGTAGGGTGACAATATACAGCCTTGACGTACTCCTTTCCCGATTTGGAACCAGTCTGGAGGTCACAGTAAACCAGATGCTATGCTGAACTGCACAGTACAAATGGAATGGTCATCTTTCAAAGAGTCTAGTGAGAGAGCCTAGATATGATCGAAATAGAGAATAAGTGTTAATAAATGCAATAACAAAGGTGTATATCCAAAGTAAATTGGGGAAATAAGAGAGCAGTGGAATCTGTGAAACTACCAAAGAAATAGTTGTGACTCATGGCACATAGAGGGGATCAGCAACAGGCCTTCGCCCCTGCACATAAATGTTAAATGAATAGTGTCATCACGGCACGGGAGCATTCTGCTCTGATTTCTTCTTTACTCTTGCCCCATGTGGCAGCTTTCAGCCTTCTCCAATTCAGATTAGATTGGAAAAGCTAGTTATTATAGTCAGGGTACAGGTAAAGCTTCCATAACAAAATAAGCAAACAAACACAGATACATAAAACAAACTGCAATGACTTCGAAAAGAAAGAAGTTCATTCCTCTCACACAATTCAGAAGTGAGTGGTCCAGGGTTTGGCAGGATGGCAATACCACCTTTACATAAGACTTCAGATGTTACATTTTTCCATCCAGCAGGGAGAAGGAAAGAGGCAACCTTGGGAAAATTTCAGCCTCTAAGAAGATGACCTAGATGTTGTACACAGCACTTCTGTTCATACCCTGTTTGTTCAGAATTTGTCACATAGTCACGCTTAGGTGCAAGGAAGGCCAGGGTATTTAGTTTCTACCTGGATAGACTATGAACAGCTAAAACTCAGGAGCCTCTGATTCTAAAGGAAAAGGGGAAATACAAGTACTGAAGAAGATATGGTTTTCTCTCTGCATGCATGTTACCAGACTTTATGTCACAGTAACATGGTGCCTTTTAAAATGAACAGAACTCTTTTTCTGAGCAGGATCTACAGATACTAAACAGAATATCACATATGGTTGCTTTATGACTATTAGTGTGACTTATTATTTTTGCAAAGGCATATACCATGGAGTATTTGCATGTATTTGTTGCTATTTCTATAGTCTTTGATTTCTGCAAAAAACGTATACTCTTCCATAGTTTATATACCATCTCACGTTGCAAATATAAAATTATTCTCTACTTGCTATTCTTGATCCATTTGATACTGTTAAGGGACAATTAAGCCATGATTATCACTCATTCGTTTTCTTTTTACTTCACTTAAAATTTCCTGTACTGCTTAATGCCCACAACAGAGCATTAAATATTTGTCTGCATTTCAGTCTCAAGTGTTAGTCTCTCTACTCTAGCAATAACTGAAATGTGGGACAGGAACTTGATCATTGAGTTATAAGAAGCAAAATAGAATTAATGCTTAGAAATAATATTTTTAAAAACCAAATGGTAACATCATAGATAAAACAAAAGTCTCACAGAGGAAACATTATGAAGGTGTTCACTTATGTCTCCACCAGCCACATTTCTGGAGGATAGGGACTCCCCTTGGGTTACCTTCTTCAGGCCATTCATTGTGGATCCTACGTCATCTGTTTAGGTTCATAAGAAAATGGATCTTCCATGGCACTTTCTATTTTCCTTTTTCTTGAATTTTGGGGCTACTTGAAATATGCTACCCATAGTTTATTAACTTATAAAGGAGAGATGAGGGGGGAAATTGCTGTTTCCTTTTTTTTTTTTAATGACTGCACAACACCATTTTTATCTTAACCTGATACTATTACCTTTGTCTTTATTTATGAAACATCCTTGTGTATGCTCAGTCACTCGGTTGTGTCCGACTGCAGCCCTATGGACTGTAGCCCACTGGCTTCTCTGTCCATGGAATTTTCCAGGCAAGAATACTGGAGTGGGTTGCCAGTTCCTACTCCAGGGGATCTCCTGAACCTAGGGACTGAATCTGCGTCTCTTGTGTCTCGTGTGTTGGCAGGCAAATTCTTTAACGCTAGAGATATCCTTTAGAAAGAAAAAAATTAATTCACTTGCGGTCCCTCAAGGGCCCTTCTTCCCCCAGCAACCATCTGACCCTTACTTATTTACTTCGCTGTATTACAATCTTGTTATACAGTTACTTGCTGAGTGTAGATGTCTGATTTGTGATGATCTGATAGTTACTAAGTGTTTTCGCACGCAGACTTCTTCTCAGCCCATCCCTCTAAACGTGGTGTCATCTTCCTCCAGTAGGACAGTCACATGCTTGTCCTGGCTAGAGGGTCCCAGGCCGCAGAGGAAGCCACGGGAACTGTCTGGCACAGCAGTTCAGCTCCTCTGCTTTCCACTTGCCCAAAACATGGTGCCATTCACAGCTCAGTTAATTTTACTTCATTTTCTTTCTCACAAATCAGTGTATATCCTCTTTACTCCATCTCCTCTTTCAGTCTTCCAATCTTTGTCTAGGTACTGCAGAAGAAAATCTCTGTTGGTATGTCATATGAGTTAGATGATCTCTGAAGATATTAAGTAAATTATACGGGCAAAACTCATGAAGAGTAGGACATTACGGAGCTGGTGGGCTAGAACTGGATGGGCAAAACACATATATCCAGAAAGAAAATGACAAAAGTTTTTTTAAAGAAAGTGTCAGCAAACTATGAAGTGTTCCAAAGTGCCTATAACCTATGCAAAATACCCCCTTAAATTCCCTAACACTTACATATAACCAGCACATATTAACTGAATGAAAGAATGAACAAATGAATAAGAGTTAGAGAGTAACCTTCATCCTGCTCTGTTTCTTAAAATTTTTACATACTGATAAGAGGAAAATGTATTACATCTTGGAGAAGTATTTATATCTAACCTGGGAGAATCCATTAACAATCTGAAAGAGAAAAAGACTTAACAGAGTAATTTCAGCTACTAGAAAAAGATAGGGAGAGAGACATCTGATTTACTGAACCTCAGAAAACATATAGTACATCAGCTATCATGTACTTCACCTGTAAGAACAACTGACCTACCTAGATTCTAAACATTCCTATTGCTAACATCTCATAAGAGTATGGGAAAGAAATGTTCATTTAATGTTTCCTCCTTTGGTGAGAAAAAACTCTTTCTAGAGGGAGAAAAACTTGATAAACATTATCTGCACAGGTGGCTCCATGATCCTAGAAGTGAGGAAATCATAATAATAATGTTATCATTTATTGAGCTCCTACTGTATACTAAGCATTTTACATACATTACTTAATTGATTTATTTAACTGATGCAAAAGTTGGTATTATTTTCATCTTGATGATGAAGTGGAAGTTTAGAAAGAGTACACAAAGTATGCTAACTCAGTGACATACATCCTGTTTTCCACGAAACTCTTACCCCTCCTCAGGTCGGGGTCTTAAAGAAAAGGCAGTGTCATCTTATATGCTTACACTCCTCAAGGGAAACCTGTTATGAGAAACAGAGGGGTATGGAAAATATAAGAAAAGGTGTCACTAATATCTCTCTTGATATGAAATCTAGTAATTAGTTTAGTACCATGTAAGGGATTCATGTTATATGCCTCCTGTTGACTGTTCTTTTTAAAAATCATCTTCAAGCTGTAAAAAGAGGCTCCTATGACATGGTGTCTGCACTGCTTAAACACAACACCAGTCTTGACCAGCCCTGTGTGAAGCGATGGTCAGCAATGCATGAAGCAGCCAAACAAGGCCGCAAAGACATCATAGCTCTGCTACTAAACAATGGAGGCAATGTCCACCTGAAAGACGGATTTGGAGTGACCCCATTAGGTGTCGCGGCCGAGTATGGTCACTGTGATGTGTTGGAACATCTGATCCACAAAGGTACGTGGAAAGGAATTGCATGTTGCTGATATTTCTCCTAGGCTTCCCAGGTGACTCAGTGTTAAAGAATCTGCTTGCCAATGCAGGGAACACAGGTTCGATCCCTGGGTCAGAAGATCCCCTGGAGGAGGAAATGGCAACCCTCTCCAGTGTTCTTGCCTGAGAGATCCATGGACAGAGGAGCCTGGCAGGCTACCATCCATGGGGTTGCAGAGCTGGACACGATGGAGGCAGTCAAATTTTCACATAGATGGCTCACCAACATTTCGCACTCATCTTCTAAATTGTACTCCTCTTCTTTCACACTTTTGATTTAATTTCTCTCAGCCAAGACTGAGAGCTTAGATTTTATCTCTCACTCCCCCATCACCTTCTTTTTCAAGCATAGTCAGTTGCCATGTGCTATAGTGTCCCTCCCTCTCACCCATTCTCACCTTGGCATGGCCCCTGGCCTGTGTCCTCCATCCTCCCTGGGCCAGTATAATTGTTTCTTAACCATTTTCTTGGTTTCCAGTCTCTCCACCTGAGAATCCACACTTCATGTGACAACTTAGCTCTTCTCCCTAAAGATCAGCTATAGTAAACTATTCAGAGAATCCTCAGTGGGAAACTTTCCTGGTGGTCCAGTAGCTAAGACTCCATGTTCCCAATGCAGGGGGCCTGGGTTCGATCCCTGGTCAAGGAACTAGATCCTTCATGCCACAATGAAGACCAAGATCTGTTCAGTTCAGTTCAATTCAGTCGCTCAGTTGTGTCCGACTCTTTGCGACCCCGTGAATCGCAGCACACCAGGCCTCCCTGTCCATCACCAGCTCCTGGAGTTTACTCAAACTCGTGCCCGTCGAGTTGGTGATGCCATCCAGCCATCTCATCCTCTGTCGTCCCCTTCTCCTCCTACCCCCAATCCCTCCCAGCATCAGGGTCTTTTCCAATGAGTTAACTCTTCGCATGAGGTGGCCAAAGTACTGGAGTTTCAGCTTCAGCATCAGTCCTTCCAATGAACACCCAGGACTGATCTCCTTTAGGATGGACTGGTTGGATCTCTTTGCAGAAGACCAAGATCAGGTGCAGCCAAATAAAAGAAATATTTTTAAAAATCCTCGGTGGCTCCCCTCTGCCTACTGAATCATTCTCATGTCCCCACTGTACCATCTTGAGTTATTTCCCAGGTTTGTCTCTCACTACTCCTAATATGTATCCTGTACTCCTGTTAAATAGGCTAGCAGTATTGATAAACATGGCGGCTTCCCTTGTGAGTCAGACAGTAAGGAATCTTCCTGCAATGAAGGCGACCCGGATTCAATCCCTGCTCTGGGAAGATAGCCTGGAGAAGGGAATGGCAACCCAGTCCAGTATTTTTGCCTGGAAAATCCCATGGACAGAGGAGCCTGGCCAGCTATAGTCCATGGGGTCGCAAAGAGTCAGATACAACTGAGCAAGTAACGCAGACACACACACACACACACACACACCTAAACGTGCCTCCCATTCACCCTTTCTGGGTTTGGGTCAGGTACTTGCCCTCATCTGAAATACCCTCCAACACAATTCAAAGTTATTGTCTTAAGACACCTCCTCCCTGAAGACTTTCCTAATTCCCTCCAACAGACTGTGATGTTTTCCTCCTATGAAGCCTCCAAGTGCTTTATACAACTACAGAACCAAGAATTGAGATACCTACCAACTTCTTGGGGTTTCCCTTATACCTCAGTTGGGAAAGAATCTGCCTGCAATGCAGGAGACCTGAGTTCGATTCCTGGGTTGGGAAGATCCCCTGGAGAAGGAAATGACAACTCACTCCAGTGTTCTTGCCTGGAGAATCTCATGGACAGAGGAGCCTGGCGGGCTACAGTCCATGGGGTCGCAAGAGTTGGAAATGACTTAGCAACTAAACCAAACCAACCACCAACTTCTTAAACTGGTTTCTGCCACCTACCCATTGTCTGCCACTCGCCTAGTTACTTAAACACCTAGGCCTTAGTTTCCTCATCTGTAAATAAAGGCTAGGACCACATTATTCTCAAGGATCCTCTGTAGGGAAAATAACATTTTTTAACTTCCTCCACAATGCAACTCATTTAATTATCAAGTAAGCCATATGAAATAAGTTATGTTACTGTAGTTTACAGATAATGAGTTGGAAGTTCGTGGAAGTAAGTAGCTTGCCCCAAACTCTCACAGTCAGCAACAAAGCCATAATTCAAACAGACCACTTTCCCCTACATCATATCTTCTGGTCCTCATGACATTTGGATATTACACAATTTGTGTTCTTTAATGATATTTTGTGTCATTTCCCCTCTGAGCCATTTAAGATAGTCAGGCTTATTCATCTTAGGATCTTCTGATGGATCATGCATGGTGTTTGCACATAGAAGACAGTTGATAAAAATTTGTTGAAATGAGACAGAGCATTACTGTTGTCTTTAAAAGTCTAATTAGACTTTTTTTAGGGAGCATTTTCCTATCATGAAAATTGACTTGATTTCTCAGATGTCAATGAGGGAAAGATTTTCTAATAGAACGAAATATGCTTCATGATTGTTTATTGAAAAGGCTAAGAACACAGATGTTCTTAATTCTGTATTTTTAAGTCCTAACCAGAAAGGAAAACAACAGGTTATTTTTAAGGAGACGATCTTGACATTTGCCCAGTGATCACTCCTCTGCGTGTTTTATCCTGCCAGGAGGTGACGTACTTGCTTTGGCAGATGATGGTGCATCAGTGTTGTTTGAGGCAGCAGGAGGGGGCAATCCTGACTGCATCTCCCTCCTGCTGGAATACGGAGGAAGTGGAAACATACCTAACAGGGCAGGGCATCTCCCGATACACCGAGCTGCCTACGAGGGACATTACCTGTGAGTAATAAATCACAGCATGATCCCTTTGAGTTGAAAACACAAACTTGTATATATGGTATGATCTTAAATATGTCTCCCAAAATCCAAAAAGAGAAAGGTAAAATGTTCACAAGTTTTGTATATCGATGTGTTTATTTGATTTTCCTCTTCTTTTTACATTCTTATACCTTAAAAAATTTCCATATTGAATTTATACTGCTTTTCAAATGAAAAGATATTTTGTTTAAGAAGAAAGTTATAAGTGAGACTTCTGCACATGCCACCCAAATGTGCCTTTTTTTTTTTTAACCTGTTTAACAGAAGGCTATGGGGCTTCTAAAAATTTTGCCCTTGGCAAAGGATTAAAATTTGTATTACTCCAATTTTTATCAACATCAACAGATATTATAATGTAGAATATATCCTTGAATAGAAAGGTGTCATTATAAATTTAGGTTTCTTTAAGAAAATGGCCAGATATATTTTACAATCACAAAATGTGCCACGACCAACACATCAATAGAAATCTATAATCATGATAAACTACCCTCCTTGAAAGGATGGTTTTTGGCAATTAAATGTATTTCATAAATTCAAAAACTGTGAAATCATTAGGCTTCATCACTTTCAGTGGTGACGTTGGCTAAGTTAAGTGGCTAATGACAAGTAATTGATGCAAAGTGACATGTTGTTAAAGTTTACCTGGATTTACTCCCAGTGTTCATAAATTCACACCTGGTAGCTCTGAATTAGGCACAAGAGATCAAGTTCTTGCCTGTGGCTCTCATAGATGTCCAATTCATCAGTCAAGTGTGAAATTCACAGCTATTCATCACAGGTTCTTAGTAATACAAGCTGTGGTTAGTTATCTCAATTGAACTTATGTAAAATTGATGAAACAATAAAGACTCTTCTAATTGCTAATAATTCAAGTTCAGGTAAGTAGAGAGGATATACATGGACAATATTAAAGCATAGATTGTTCATGGAGCAGTGAAAGCGGAATAACAAGAATTCAAGAGGCCTAAATTCTACTCAATACTCTTCTGCATATGTGTGACCTTGGACAAGTCATTTCACTTCTCAAGTCTTTGTATGGATCTCCTGGTAATAAAAGGGTTGGACTCAGTGATGCCCAAGGTGACTTCCAGCTCTAATTTCCTGTGACTCCATGGTTCTAATTAATGGTCAACAGTATGAAGCATTCATCTGTGACATTGAATGGATCTACTTTTCTGTTACACTTTCTTCATTAAGTAGCCTTGGTTGATTATAGATAATATGTTGTTCAGAGAAGAACTGGAAAATGGGGAGGGGTCCTGAGGAATCACAATTTTAGAACCAAATATATAAGATCTAGTAAGTTCCCCAGGAATATTTAGACTGGGAAGCTAAATCGAAACTAAACTGAATAGTACTAAGTCTCTGGATAAAGACTGAATGTTTTTGTATAAGGGTATCTAGAGAAAATAAAGGAAACTAATCAAATTACATTCACTTGTCCAACACGGAAGCTGGTTTATTTCATTTGTTGGTTTTCTTCCTGCCATGTGGATATTTGGTTTTGTTGTTTTTTTTTTTTTTTAGTGCACTGAAATATCTTATTCCAGTAACATCCAAACATGCAATCCAGAAAAGTGGGCTAACACCAATTCACTCAGCAGTAGACGGACAAAATGCACAGTGCCTAGAACTGCTTATTGAAAACGGCTTTGATGTCAATAGCCTGCTTTCTGACCACATTTCTGAGAGCTATGATGACGAACGGAAGACTGCGCTCTATTTTGCTGTTTGCAATAATGATATCCTTTGCACAGAAATCCTCCTGGCTGCAGGTGCAGACCCAAACCTAGATCCCCTCAACTGTCTACTGGTGGCAGTGAGGGCCAATAATCATGAAATTGTCCGGCTGCTTCTTGCCCACGGAGCTAATGTCAATTGTTACTTCATGCACGTGAATGACACTCGTTTCCCCAGTGCCATACAGTATGCCCTAAATGACGAGGTAATGCTCAGGCTGTTGCTGAATAATGGCTATCAGGTGGAGATGTGCTTTGAATGCATGCACGGGGACATCTTTGGAAACTCGTTTGTGTGGTCGGAGATAGAGGAAGAGGTACTGCCGGGATGGACATCTTGTGTCATAAAAGATAACCCGGTGAGTTACACCCTTCTCTTCTTCGTATTGGGTCAGCAGCATAATTTTGCTCATTTAGGCATGTTCCAAGAAAAGAAAAATCAACTCCAACTTTTATATTTTTCTTCTTCTTGTGTTTTTGTTTGCAATGAGATGGGGAAATAAGCATAAAACTAGGCCCCCAAAAGTGTAATTTTCTTGAATTGGAAACCAAATGTTGAATAATTTGGAAAATGTATGTAATTAATAACCTATGCTTATTTGGTGGAATTTGGGGGCTAGAAACACAGTAAGAAGAATCATGGAAGTTAGCATGGTTCTTCCACATTATGCTGAGTACTGTCACATCAGAGCCACGCATGCTCCAGGGCTCATTGTTTCACAGAAACAAGCAAATCATTTACTTTGCTTTTTTGGTTCATAACAAGAAGGGTACTTTTATTTCATGTAAAAAGGAAAAGGTAGTAATTTTTCAGAACAAAATTGTTTATGAATATAGTATATTAAAAGTGCTACTAACTTCAATTTTATTACTTCTCTCAGTTCTGTGAGTTTATTACAGTCCCCTGGATGAAGCACTTGGTAGGCAGCGTTATTCGTGTATTAATAGATTACATGGATTATATCCCTCTGTGTGCTAAACTGAAATCTGCACTAGAAGTACAGAGAGAATGGCCAGAAATCCGTCAAATACTAGGTAAACACAAAAGTTTTTCTTACAAAATTTTTTTATGGATAATGTATATAGGAAAAATTTCTTAATGTCAGTTTTGATACTTTTTCAGTGCTACCTTATTTTCAGAATTATCTGTTTTCTCAAATCATCCTTTATACTTCCTCTGATATAAGAAACTTTTTGCTTTTTCTTGACACTTTCCAACTGTTTAATTGTATAATGAATAATACCATAACTATATTAACATTCTGAATAGAACTCACTTTTTAAAAGTTAACTTCTATAATATCATAAAGTATAGGATTCTCCATTTGGGCAGGGATCTGTTTTGTTTATTTTTGTATTCTCGGGGCTTAGCCTCATAAGCAGTAGACACTCAATAAATACTAAATAAATGAATGAATGGAATGAATTAAAATATCCTTTTTGAGCTAGTCTCTCTGGGTCTTTACTGACAAATTCCTACTGTGAAAAGTATGTTTTACACATAGGCCATTTTGTATTTTCTAGGTTAAAGCTTAGTTATAATCATAAAAGTGAATCATATTATAAAAGTTTCAATAAAAATACATCTAAAATTACTCCAAATACATACAGAAACCAGAAAAAAAAATTATAAATTGGGAATGTTTTCTCTTTCAAAATATGAGTTTGGAAAAATGTACTATCAAAACCTACTTGGACAATTTCATGGAGGCTAAAGAATCATCCTAGAACCTGACAATATATTTAAATATTCTGGCACTCTTAGTACACCTAAATCAATCTTCAATAGTATAACAAAACCACAACATCCCATTCTTTAAGATCAGGCAAATTTTATGCAAATTAGTATATTATATTTTGTAGTCAAAAAGATGAAATTGAAATGTTTATCTGATTTACATACCATGTTTGTTAGATATAAAGTTCTATAAAAAGAAATGTTTATCTAAGCTCTCTGTTTCAATCAGAGTCTCATACATTAACGTATATAATCTGAATTTGGATTGTTTTGACCATGGTAGCAAGAGACAGAAGTTGGCAGAAACAGTGGAGATTTGATTGCCTAGAAAGAGTGTTGGTTCAGCTGAACACACATTAGGTGGTAAGCTTGGATTTTCCTCACATGGTTCTTCCACTAGAATGAGTTCTATGATAGAATAGACTTTGTGGCAACTAAAGATTCTCAGAGAATCTAGTGAATGATAGAGCCTATAAATTGACCTCTGGGGTCAGATAAATCTGAAATAGGATGCAACATTTTTCTTGCCCTGGTATAGAATTGCTGAGCCACATACTGCATAGGTCTTTCAGGGCTGATATTTTCATGGAAACAAGCAACAATTTATTCTATCATTTTTGTTTCATTCAGGGGAGGGGATTTTTGTACTTTTTAATTTTTAATTTCCTATAAGAAAACCAAGATAGTCATACTGGTTTTGTGGCTTTGAGCATAGTTACTTATTCTTTTTTTTTTTTTTTACTGATTCTTTTTATATCAAGGTTTTCCCACTGCAGATTTACCTCTTAAGGTTGTTGTGGGAATTTAAAGAGATGTCACATGTAAGGTGCTTAGCATAATGCCTACAGCATTAAAAACACTTAGTAAATTTACTTATTTTAAAGACTAAATTATTAGTATTTTTATGTTATTTTTATTACATGGTAAGGTTATATGAAGTATCTGAAATGTGTATGTAAGCATGTCATGAACCCCCACAACTTGAAGAGTTAGGTATTATCATTGCTAATTTTAAAAAATAAAAAACTAAGGCTAAAGGGGACTTACATAATAGTCTGGACTCTATAAATTCTTGAAGCTAGTTACCCTTCTGAACAAAAGCCTCTCTTAGGAGTGAAGTCAAAATCAAGCAGGACAGATGAAGAACTATAGCATTTTGGGTCTTAAAGATTAACTGAAAGAAAGAGAAGGGGATGGAGAGAAGGACCTACAGATTAAAAGAGTTAAAAAGAACACATCAAACTAAAAAAAAATTGTCAGTACTATAGTTTAGGGATAGCACACGAAGATAATGAAGCTGTAAAGAAAGTGATTACTATAAAAGTCTAAAGAGTAGTTTCTTACAGGGAAGGAAGGAGTGAAGTTTGGATGGATTGTGGAGAGAATTCTGGGATGGCTGGGGAAGTTTTATTCATGACCTTGGAGAAGTTTGCAGATGTTCACCTGATAATCACTTAAGAAACTATATGTACAGTTGCTTTATCTATATTTTACAATGAAAGAGTTAAAATATTTTGGAGATTGTAAAGGAAAGAACCATAAGGCTTATATAAATTATTTCCCAAAGTTACAGACAGAAAAATAACAAAACAAGGATTTGAACTCTAGTCCATCTCATTTAAACACAGGCTCTTTCTCCAATACTACTGTACTTCCTGTCATAGAACAGATTTTGCTTCTAATTAGCAATACATTGTCCATGTGTTTGTATTGGAAAAGAATGACAAATTCTTGTGACTTTAGAAAAGAAATCCAAGTAAGAATAAGACCAGAAAGTTTTCTAGTTGTTTCAGACACATTGCAACTGAAGTGTAGTCAGTTGATTGCTATGAGTATAGTTAACCACTGGATGTCAGGATTTCTCCAGGTATATGTACGGCAGAGTCTGTTAGAGGAAAAAATAATTTTTTTTAAAGATGGGTTTATTCTGTCTCTTTTAGTAATGATAACTTTATCTCAATAGTTTTTGAGAAACAATCTTAATTTTTTCAAAATAACTTGAGTACTTATAATTGCAAATGTAACAAAAAATGTGATCTCTTTGATTACTGAATTGAGTGATCATTCACAAATGATTACAGTGTACCAAACACTTTTCTAATGCTTTAGATGAATTAATTTGTTTGATATTTAAACAGCCCTATGAGGTAAGTCCCATTGTTATCCACCTTTCCCAGGTGAGAATGCTGAGATCATAGGGGTTAAGTAACTTGTCCAGAGTAACACAAATACTATTTAAGTGGCAGAGACATGATTTTAACCCAAGCCAACTGAGTCCAGAGCTTACCTCTAAGCCTGTGGGCAGTGCTGCCTTTTCACTCACTCCTGTTGCTGGATTAATATTTTGGTGCTGTAATTATACTAAAGATAAAGTTACTACAGATAAAATAAGAGGTGAAAAGAAAGACTAACATCAGTTATTTGAATAACATTAGCAGACTTTTTGGAAAGTGTAAAATTTTTAGGTATCATACACTGAATCAAACCTAAGATTGAATCATAGACATATGGAATCGGTTGTATCAGATGTTTCACAGATAACTATTCATCAGAAAGATTGGTAGGAGAGAACAGAAGTGAAGGAATTTATCTCTAAAATACTCAGTTCTAAAAAATAAATAGAGGGAGATATGAGCATTTGCTTTCTTTAATCAAGTCCATTCATTCATTTAACATATTCTGTACTTTCCTGATGGTCCCGTGATTTAGATTCCACTCCATGTTCCCACTGCAGGGAGATTGATCCCAAAGGAAGGAAGATCCCCCATGTCACATGGCGAGGTTAAAAACAAAAACAAAAAGCATATTCTACTTGAACACTCCCTAGAAGTCAAGCTCTCTTTTTGACACAGAGGCATGCTAAATGCCTACCTCCATGGAGCTTGCATTCTAGAGGAATGATGTGGAATGCTTAATTGCAATTTGAATTTTACTTAGTCACCAGTTACTAACATGTGCATGCTTGTTTTTTAGAATGACACAGTATTATTCTAAAACAGTCCATATCTTATAGGTTAATTCATTCATATTGTTTTTATTTTTTGCTTGTTTTTCCCATTCACTTTAGAGAATCCCTGCTCATTAAAACATTTATGTCGGTTAAAAATTCGAAGACTGATGGGGCTGCAGCGGCTCTGCCAGCCAACCTTGATGGAGAAGCTCTCTCTACCACCAACTATTCAAAGATACATATTATTTAAAGAGTATGACCTTTATGGACAAGAGCTAAAATTGCCATAATTTAAAATAATATTTTTAAATGTGACTTTAAAAATATGTTTAAATGAGATTCCCTCAGAGAATTTCTTGGAATCATTTTACATCCTGACATATATTTAAATCCATTGACAATTTTATAACTGGATCCTGGGTTCTTTGGGGAACACAATATTTCACATCTTTAAAGAAATTTACAATGTGATATTTTTAAAGCTAGTTAATATTTTGCATTTGAATTTCTATTGATTATCTTCACTTGCAACAAGTCTTCAAACTCTCCTTATCAAGTGGTTCCTACAGTATCCAAGAGCAAGTCTCTCCTTTGTTCGTAAAACAAAGAATCACTTTCTCTAACCCCAGTTGCTGGCCCATCCTGTCCTTTCTCTTATTGCTACACTGTATAAAAGAGCTCCTCCCTGCCTCTGCAGATGCCCTCATTGTCATCTGCCTTCTACTCCCTCCACTGCCCTTCCCAAGGTCCTTAGCAACTTGCTTGTTGCCACTTTCAGTGAGCATCCTCCAGTCCTTACACCTGATTGCTGCAGCATCTGACACTATTACCTACTCTACCTCCAGGAAATGGTCTTCCCTTGGTTTTCCAGGTATCTTGCTCTCTTGGCTCTCTTCCAACCTCTCTAACCACTCTGCCTCTAGCCTCTTTCTGTGTTGTGCATCTCCTACCAACTCTTTAGTAACATATCTTACGTCCTCTTTTTTTATGCTACGTTCAACAGGAAATTTCATCCATACCTATGGTTTTATTTACAACCTACATGTGTCTGACTGTAAGATTTATATCTGAAGTTCAGCTTTTTCTCTCATGCACATGAGACCTGTATAGACAACTGGCCTAAAGGACCTTTGAAATCAAAGAAACCTCAAATTCAACATATCCTAAAGCAAACGTGCTATCTTCCTCCACAAAAAAAAAAAAAAAAAAAGCTCCTTCTCTTACCATCTCTAGCTCAATTATTCAGTTGCTCGGTTATATCTGACTCTTTGCAACCCCATGAACTGCAGCATGCCAGGCCCCCCTGTCCTGCACCAACTCCCAGAGCTTGCTCAAACTCATGTCCATTGAGTCGGTGATGCCATCCAACCATCTCATCCTCTGTCGTCCCCTTCTCCTCCTGCCTTCAATCTTTCCCAGCATCAGGGTCTTTTCAAATGAGTTAGTTCTTTGCATCAGGTGGCCAAAGTATTGGAGCTTCAGCTTTTCAGCATCAGTCCTTTCAATGTATATTCAGGACTGATTTCCTCTAGAATTGACTGGTTTGATCTCCTTGCAGTCTAAGGGACTCTCATTAACCCAATTATCGATTCAGTTTGCCAAGTCAAAAGCTTGGACATCAAACTTGACCATCCCATTTTCCTTATCCAAGTTTATTTCATGAAGTCATCTTCTTCTACTCAGTCTCACTGATTCAGCCTGAATATCAGCTCTTATCTCCTTTCTTCCTGGGACATTGCAATGCTGCCAAACTGATCCTCCTCTCCGCTATCTTGCCTCGTCCAACCCATGTTCTACACATAACATCCCAGAGTGATCTTTTACAAATGTAGGCAAGTTTCACTCTCCTGCTTGAAATCATTCCCACTGCTCTTGGGCTAAAGTCCAAAGTTCTCCATCTGCTCCAACTCCCTGCCTTCCTCTTAGCCTTATCTCTTGGTGTTTCCCTTATGCCATCTCTTTAAACATGTTAAATGCCCCTGATAAGTTAATGCTTTGAACAGTGATTTTCAAAGTGATTTTCAAACCATCACTGTGGTGGTGGTTTAGTCGCTAAGTCATATCCGACTCTGGCAATCCCATGGACTATAGCCCACCAGGCTGCTCTGTCCATGGGATTTTTCAGGCAAGCATACTGGAGTAGGTTACCATTTCCTTCTCCAGGGGATCTTCCCAACCCAGGGATAGAACCTGGGTCTCCTACACTGCAGGCAGATTCTTTACCAACTAGGCTACCTATACATCACTAGTTTCTGTTTTAAAAATAGGGTCCTCTATTTTACATATACATATATAAAATCTATTATCATGGATATTTCATAAAAGAAGTGCCATTTTAATGCTAGAAAATGGGGCTGCCTTAAACTCCATTATTAAAATTGAATAACTTTATCTTTGTAAAAACTTAACAGTTTGGTCTTCATTTCCACATTGATGAGTGAAAATTTCATTCTAGCCCAACAAGTCTCTGAGGTCTTTGGTTTGGGAACCACTGTTTTAAAAGAGTATATTTTCTTGGCAATCAGGGTCTTTGTATGTTCTTCTCCTTCTGCCTGGAATCCTCTTTCCATCTCCTTCTTCCTCCCTACACCCCTTATCCTACAGGTCTCACTTTAGGTGTTCCTTCCTCTAGGATAGGAGGCCCTATAACAGCGCTTTTCATGCTGTATTACAGAAACCTGTGTTCCCATCTGTCTGTCCACTAGACTGTAAGCTCTGTGAGGGCAGGGTCTATGTCTCATTTGTTTTACAGTGTTTTCTTAGGGCCAAACACATTCCCTAGAGCATAGAGAGAATGCAAAAATTACTTGTTGAATACATTGAATGAGTGAATGTTATATTATATAAGATCCAGACAAAATTAATCAGTGACCTCATGGTAAAATGATAGTTCTGAATCTCTGAATTGGTTATATTGCTTTAATTATGTAGTTACTTGGATTCATTCTTAGATTTTCTTATAATCATTTTTATCTTGAGTTATTGTATTTTCAATAGTATTATCTCACTAGTTTATGAGCTATACAAATTGTATTTAGCTCTAGCTATAAGTATGAAAAAACTGTATAATTAGACATATAGTTTTAACCACTTTTATTCCCTAAAGAATATATTTTCATATAGATTAAACTCTAATGTATTTAATTAGAACTATAATGTTTTGGGTATGGGATTTTGTGATTCCTTTGTTGCTCTCCTACTTGTGGCTAAAATGCATTGTTACCTATAACATTACTCTAAGTAGATTTTTTTTAAAAGATTTAAGTGTACCATATGATACTTCAGATATTAAATAAACTAAAACTTGGATTTTACTGTATTTTTGAATAAATACATTCAAGATACCTCAGATATTAAATAAACTCTAATACACAAAAGTTTGAAATTTTCTTTAGTGCATTTTTTGTAAATATATTCAAGAAACACTTGAATGAAAGAATATGAATTCCCTGTACCTACTATGGGTTGAAAGTGGTTCTTTGGTACTTGTGAAGCAGGAGAAAAATATATTCTATGAAACTGAGACAATCACTGTATTCAAAATGGATTTAACTTCTTTCTTATTACATGTTGACATTTTCTAGCAGTGTTTTTGTTTTGGGGCGAGCTGGATGGTAAGAAGATTATTTTATATCTAATTAGGACTCTGTTTCTCCAAGAATATGTCACTTTATCTGGGAGGGCAACAGCTGTTTCTCCCCAGTGAGCTTCAGGAGAAGCCAAACATTCTACATGGTGCCTGTTTAACCACTATCATGTTTAATCAACATGATAGTGTTTTGATGACATCTTCCATGCTGCCAAGATGATCATAGCTGTTTTGGTAACTGTGGGTTCTGTTTTGTACCATACAGAGACTCTGGTTGGGAAGAAGCAGATATGGCCTCTCACTTGAGTGAGGTTTGTTTAGTTTTTCAGTAGGTCATCTTTAAATACTATTTCCATTTCTGACTTACAATAATTTCATAAGCTCATTGAAACCATGTACCTCCTGAAGAATATGGGTTAATCATTTTAAATAGTCTCAGAACATGCTTCCAGGCAGAAGTCAACAGTGCATAAGATGTGACAGTTGTGTAAATGTTGTACAGCAAATATTCTTAGGTAACACTTGCTTTGATGCGGGTTTTTGAAAAATCAGTGCATAAGGGTAAGACAGCATGGACACTTCCAAAAAAAGATGGAGTCTTTTATGACATAGCACATGAAACCCCACATCTGCTATTGCTCGATAAAGTTCCGATCATCAAAAAGGAAGAAGGGCTTCTTAGGGGAGAAGGTGTGTAGAAGGAAATAGACTTATTTGACCTCAGTGGCCTGTGTTGTGTAATCTCACAGAGTGCTAGAGATGTCTGGGGATTTGCTGTTTTCGGAAGGAGACAGTCTAGTAATTTGAATCTGGGCACTAGGAGCGCCTGAGTTCTAATGATGGATTGACCAGGGATTCCACCAGGGGCACTGGACGGGTGCTCATATTCTGTGTTTCAGATTCTAGGCAGTCATTTCTCTTTCTTTGGAAGTCTTTCATCCCAGGAGATTCCAATGAGATTTTAGATAAAACTCCTTGGAAGCAGCCTGTAGTGTTGGATAAGGTAGAAGGTGTGGAGGGTGATAAATGCAATACTTACTTGAGGATTGAGTGGGTGTGAGACAGCAGTATCTGGTTCTTTCTGTTTGAAGCAAAGCCTGTACTGGCTTCTGAAAAAAAACTTTTTCATGCTTTGTGGAAGTCAAATAACCAGACAGGACATTCAGTAGTCAACAATGTATGTTCCTGAATGTTCTAATAGCCCCTCATGATGTAGTTACCCCAGTTGGTTTAATATTGTTTCAGTGAAGCACCAGTTTTAATAATTTTTGCCTGGAGGATGGAAATATTTGCTCAGGCTTTAACCCATTAGAAGCCTTTCAAGTTGTACTCAGCTGTGGCCCTAAGCCCCTTATTGGGGGCTTGACTGTCAGAGTCATCTAAGGTATCCAAGGGGCAAAAACTGAATCTGTGGGTTGGACACCCTGATGAAATTTGAACTCCAGCTGTACTGAGTCCAACTTCATGATTGATTCTAGGATATCTGAAGACCCTCTCTTCAGTGGGAAGCAAGGCCTTTTATTTGACAATCAAAAATGGAGTTTAAAATACAAATACATTTAAGAGAGAATCATTTAAAAATCTTTCCAAATAGCAGGGTTTGGTAAGGGAAAATTATGAGAACTCAATGACCATGGAGGGAAAGGGTAGTTACTTCCTACCATCCTACCATAGATCATTTGTTCTATGAATGTGGAAAGA